TTAGTGGGCACAATTGTCCTCTCTCCATTTCTTTTGGGTCACTTAATGTTCTTTCTACTATTTTAGCTACTATTCAGCTGTTTTGGGCAAAATATGCTTTTTTCAGATAATTTCCACTTTTTGTACTCATTTCTGCTTCTTTCAGCCTAATTAGGCAAACTTGTGATCTCTCCACTTCCTTCTGCTAATTTATACTTCTTTCTACTATGAAAGTTAATATTCAGCTGTTTCTTTGCTAAGTTCACCTTTGTTAAGCTAATTTAGTCATTTTTGTGCTCATTACAGCAAATACATGTTTTTCTGCTAACTTAAGCTTGTTTCAGCTACATTTCAGCATGTTTTAAGCTAATTGCAGCTGTTTTTCAGCAAGATAGTCAGCAAGAAGCGTTCACTGCATTTTCGCAGGAAATACAAATTCTCTAGTTCATTTTTGTTTTTGTGATTAAAGACACACTCGGGATGCTGCGGTTCTACATTAACACTTTTTATTTATACTTCACAAGAATGCTTTTGGGAAAAAAAGAGCTTTCAAACATGAATAGTTGTTTTTTTATATTTATTTATTTTTCTCATTTCAGTTTAATGTGATTTAAAGCTTTTTTGTTGTTGTTTTAATCTGGTCAAAATATGAATAAAACAAAGGAAACATTGTTCAAACACAACAAGTGTTCATTCAAACAGAGAGCGTCAACCTCAGAAAGTTTCCACCATCAGACCAGACGTCGTTCTGCAGGAGCTGCTGCCGGGCCTGTTCGGGTCTGAATGGGCTGACTTAAATTTTACTGAGCAAACTCAAAAAAACAAAAAACAATCTGAATTACTTTCAATAACCATCCAACAAAAATGTCACATTTACAGAACTCAAGCATTAATGTACATTCAAAAGTAACTGTTGCAACTTTTATTAATAACAAAAATACTAGTTACCCTTTTCTTTAAGAAAAATAGCCTACTAAATATATTTTATTGACATTTCTACATCAAATCCCCGTCATCTATGCAACACACCTTTTCAATAAAGTGTTCAATACGTAACATTCTCAGGTGAAGCATGTTTAATATTAAAAGCTGCAATAAAAAGGCGAACAGTTTTCACTGTTCCTAAAAACATCTGCTGTAAAAGCAATTTATTGCTGCTGCTAACAGATACAGTAAAAAAAAAATCCTATTCAAACATAAATAACCTGTTTGTATGAGTTACCTACAACAAACCATTTCAACCACTATTTCAAACCCATTCAATCCTGTTAAATTAAATAATTTACAGCTTGACTTAAAAATGTAGGACCTTTTCCCACTGCTGTAGCGATTTACATTTAAAAACTAGTAAATAAATCAATTAAAAGGCTCTTAGAGCTTAAATATCAGCTTATAGAACATGAAGCCATCCTGTCTGACATACAGGCTGAATTCAAAAACAGATCAGGACAAAATAATCTTTTGATTTAAATACTTTTCATCCCACATTGTCTTTCCACATCCTATATGTTTAGTCTTCTTCATCATCTTTACTGCAGGTTCCCAGTAAATGTCTGCGGTGGCTCAAAACAAGATTAAGAGGATCTTTTCCCACGTTTTGAAGCTCCTTTATGAACTAAAGTTGTCTAAAGCTGCATCAAGTTTTGTCTTTCACAGTTTGTCTCTAACATTCCTCCACAGTGAAGTGTGACTCGGCTCTGTTAAAAGGAAAGAAGAGATTAATGACCCATTCAGATTAAATATATACATTTGATGTGAAGGAGTGAGGAAGAGCTTACATGTCTTGTTGTTTTTGTATCATGTGGTTGTTGTACTCCAGAACAGGAGGAAGGATGTCCTCCTCCTCCTCCTCAGGAAGCTGCAATAAACCAGAGAATGGATTATTTCTAATAAAGTGTAGGAGCGCCCTCTGGTGGTTGGAAACATGCCCTCACCTCCCAGTAAGCCTCATCATCGAAGCAGTTGTCATCAGCAGCATCACCCCAGATGGGGAGCTTCAGGATGAAACCTTAAAAAAAAAAAAAAAAAAAAATAGATATTTAGAATAGATGCACAAGGCCCCAGTTAAGCTTTGTAGGTCATTTTGACCCAAGGGCAGCAGGAGGATTAAAAAAATGGTTGGTAAACAAGAACAATAAGTCACTAAGAGACCAACTGAATAACTTTAATTCATTCTGAGTCTCAGATTTCCTCTTTTCAAACTCACCAACGAAGGCTCCTCCAAACAGTCCGACCGCCATCGCCACGCACGTTCCAGCAGCCTGATAGCCTCCCTGCGTTCCCACACTTCTGCCGGCGTACCGCCCCTCAAAGTCGAATGTGTTTTTCAGCCTGAGCAAAATAAAAAGTAGAAATTTCTGTCAGATTTTCATGCAGGGCGCTTAAAGTATTTGTGAGAGGACATTGAAGATAAGTCTATTCCTTCATCAGTGCAAGTTAACATGCCTTGTGGAGATTTCTGATTTTCAGATGAATATCTGTGTTTGAGCCACTCACCCCTCTGCGCTGTAGACTTCTTCTGAAGCTGTTGCAGCAACGATGGCTCCTATGAAGCCTCCAAACAACCCTGGTATGGCGTGCAGGTTGTGAATACCACACGTATCCTGGAGCTTCAGGCGTTTCTCTAAAAAGGGCTGAACGGAGCACATAAAGTTAACTAATTAGGCTAAAAACTAAAGTTTCTGCAAACTTTAATTTCCTTTTATAGCCCAGTCATTTGTCTTGTTGCATAAAGTGTTTTCAGAAATTCTTCCACCAACAGGAAATTAATAACTGGCACAGATTTCAATCTCCAAAACTCATACAAGGCGTGGCTTGAGCTGTTCATAATTCTGGTTCTTTCCCTTCTCACGTCGTGTGATGAAGTTTCAGTTTGAGACGGTTTCGTTTTCTTTCATGTCTGTTTGCAGCGACAGCAACAACAATCATAAATACAGAAAGAAACAAGAAAATCAGGCTTACTGTGATGAACAGGTAGCCAAAAGTGGAGATGATGCCCATGAAGAAACCTACAATTAGCGAGCCGTAAGGCGTGACCATGAACTCTGCTGCTGTTCCCATGGCAACACCTCCAGCCAGAGTGGCGTTCTGGATGTGCACCTGTCAGATTATTTAAAAAGAGCAAGTTACACCCACAGGGAAAGGGACTACAGAGAGAGGTGAGTGAACGAGTTAAGTCTTTTCTGCATCTTTACCATGTCCAGTTTTCCTTTCTTGTGAGCCAAGCTGGACATGGCATAAGCAGTGACAACGGAGGAGGCGAGGGCGATGTAGGTGTTCATGGCTGCCCTGTGCTGCCCGTCGCCATGGTTTGTGATGGCTGAGTTGAAACTGGGCCAGAACATCCACAGGAACAGTGTGCCTGTGAACCGAGATGATATAAAAACCACTGTGAGGAGAAATCCTAAATGACTATAAACATCAGCGTTGGAGGTTTAAAAAATGTGCACGCCAACTCTCACCAATCATTGCAAACACATCTGAGTGGTAGACGGACCCTTGGAGGCGTTTACTTTGATGTAGGTTTGGTCGGTAGAGCACCCAGGAGATGGCCAAACCATAGTAGCCTCCAAAGCAGTGAATGATCATGGAGCCGCCAGCGTCTCTGCACTGTAAAGACACGTGCACGTCAGCACCGTTCACAGCTCAAAAACGCAAACAACAGCGCAATCTACGGTGGCCCTGAGGTGTAAATGAACATTTGAAAAAACAGAATTACATTTGAAAAAACACAACAAGAACAAAACAACATTTGAAAAACCGGAATTACATTTGAAATGACAGAATTGCATTAAGCCAAAGCGGAAGTGGCCAAAGCGGAAGTGGCCAAAGCGGAAGTGGCCGGAATCACATTTGGAAAAAAAAACTGAATCACATTTGATAAAACCAGAATTACATTTGAAAAAACTGAATTATATTTGAAGCGACAGAATTACATTTGAAACGATGGAATTACATTAAGCCAAAGTGGAAGTGGCCAAAGCGGAAGTGGCCGGAATCACATTTGAAAAAACGGAATTCCATTTGAAAAACGGAAATTATATAATTTGAATGATTTTGTTTTTTCAAATGTGATTCTGTTTTTTTTTTTTGTTTGTTTTTCAAATGTGATTCCGGCCACTTCTGCTTTGGTCACTTCCACTTTGGCTTAATGTAATTCCGTCGTTTCAAATGTAATTCTATCGTTTCAAATATAATTCAGTTTTTTCAAATGTAATTCAGTTTTTTTACCCTAAATGATATTCTGGCCACTTCCGCTTTGGTCACTTCCGCTTTGGTCACTTCCACTTTGGTCACTTCCACTTTGGCTTAATGTATTTCCGTCGTTTCAAATGTTGTTGTGTTTTGTTTTGTGATTTTTCAAAAGCAATTCTGTTTTTTCTAATGTTGTTCATTTACACCTCAGGGCCACTGTAACAATTTCCATTAAAGTGGAACTAGTGTGGTTGGTTTGGTTGATGTGACTCACATGAAGGAGGTTGAGGATGACGTATTCTTCCACAGCAAACAGCGTGACTCCAAACAAGGTGACAACCATCAGCTGGACTGGGCTCACTTTCCCCAGAATGGCCCCAAAGGCGATCAGAGAACCCGCACAGCAGAAATCAGCGTTGATCAGGCTGCGCGGAACAAGGAAATATGACGCAAACATCACCATTAATGAGAGCTAAAAGAATGTAGTTTCATTTTTGCAGTTATGTCACTCAGTTAAGGCAAACAGACGCTCACTTTTCAATCCCAATGTTGATCTTTCCGGTGGATTGATCGAGGGAGTGGAACCAGCCCTGCATGAGGAGAGCCCACTGCAGGCCGAAGGCGGCTATCAGGAAGTTGAAACCCACTCCTCCAAAGCTGTGGCGTTTCAAGAAGGTCATGAGGAAACCAAACCCAACAAAGATCATGACATGGACATCCTGGAAGCCTGAAGGAATGGAAGGAAAACAACATTGTTGAAAGTTAGTGAAGGCGTCTCTTTGTTGTGTTTCTGTTTCACATTGGTTGCATTATCTTTAGAAGTGTCACCATTCTTGTGTATTTAGATTTTATCAGATTAATTGAGGAAGTCAAGCATTCAGGATGTCATATCTGAGCTGAAAAAACATTTTTCCTTATTACATCAAAGGGTTTTGATGTGGTATTGCTGCAAAAACAATAACTGATTTTTTTAAATATATATAAATTGTTTAGGTTTTAGATAATATTCCTAAAAGTGTCTTTGCAGTCTCATTTTTTTTCTGCTTCGTGTTTTTTTTTAATGACTCCGGATAAATCGACGAACAGATGTGCAACATTTTAACAAAACATTAAAACCTGTAGAGTAAATAATGTTCTTAACTTTAACAGAACTAATCACGTCATAATTTACAGCTGACTCTTTGCAATAGAAAAACACATTTTTCATTCAGACCATGATGACCTTTGCTACTTACTGGGATATCTGAAGTAGAAGTCATTGTCCAGGTCCGTGAGGTTCTCGTGCTTCTTGTACTCCACCCAGTGTGCGTCGGACTCCTTGTCGTATCGGATGAAAAGCCCAAACAGGATGACCATAGCGATCTGCCAGACGAAGCAGACTGCAGGCAGACTGACGCGGATGTTGGTGTTCTTCTGAGGGCCGAAATAGTTTCCCATGATGCTGCGCTGATTACTTGGACAGGACCTCAGCTGTGACTTCCCCACCTGCAGCATCATCTTTTATAATGGAGATTTGGGGTGTGAACTTCTCCACCACTCAGAAGCGAGGCGTGGACCTATCATACCTTTTGGGAGGTAAACCACTCCTTTACCTGCTGATTTTTTTTTTTTTTTTTTGGACGGTTCTTATCAGGTCTAGAAAAAGGCTGCAGGAAGTGCAAGACAATTAATGAACAGACATAGTTTATGTGATTGAAGCGATGGTACAAGATCTAGATATGACTTCAGGTCGTGACGCTGTTGGCTTCAAAATGTTGGTGATTCTAAGAAGGTCAGCTCAGTCAGATAACGTGGAAAAATCTAAGCTGCTGTGAAACAATTTCAGCAGCTGCAGCTCAGATAACAACAAGCTGCATCTGCTTTGTCTTTTTTTTTTTTTTGACTGTCTGCTTTGCTTTCTGCAAAAGCATGAAAATGGTCCCAGATGAGCAGAAGTGTCAGTCAGGATTACCGTGTCCATCACGGAGAGAGCTGCATTCTGACTGCAGGTGCGTTTGATACGAAGACGCTGCAAAGTTTTAAAACTCATGACAGACTGCAACTAAAAACCAACATGTAGCGGTCTTAAAAACCACTGTGTGTTACTCCGGTCAGCTCTTACTTTCTATTTATTTATTTTATTTAGTAACCTTTATTTAACCAGGCAAATCCCATTGAGATCACAGATCGCTTTTGCAAGGGAGGCCTGGACCTGCAGGCAGCCTGACATGCAGGTTTTTGAACTGTGGGAGGAAACCGGAGTACCCGGAGAAAACCCACGTAAGCACGAGAAGAACATGCAAACTCCACACAGAAAGACCCCATGTCCAACTGGGAATTGAACCCAGGACCTTGTTGCTGTGAGGCAACAATGCATGCACTATGCATGCACGTTAACTCTCTAATTCTCTTCCCCGTTTAGAATCAACATTAGCTTTACGTTGGTTTGTTTTGCACAGTTTTGGAGTAAGAAAATGTGAAGAACATTTAAAACCTTTGAAACGTTATGAAATATGAGCAAGAACTTAAAGTAACATTAAACACAAAGATCTCAAACCTCGTTTAGTTTGTTTTTATTGCTCGTATTTAAAAAAGTTTTGATTCCTCCAACCTGCTACCGAACCCTTTGGGCAGCTGTCCAGGACTTACAGTCCAAAGAAAACCTCTTGATATTACTCCTCTTCTTACTTTCAAGAACGAACGCAACACTTGTTTGACCTTCAAGCACGTTCAGAAGGATTTATCTGGATTAAGCAGATTCATGTAATCTTACACAAACAGAGTTGTTAAAATGTATGACAACCACAAAATTTGATAATACGTATTACAATGCAGTACTAACCTGGGTAAGTACCCAGAACATACTTGGCATGAACCTAATAACGTTCAGGTTTGTCCTGATGCTGCTCAATAATCCAGGTAGATAAATCTAACCAGGTTGAGTCAGGTCCTCTGAACAGATTCTTCTTTGTTGAAACGTTTCATATTTTATCCAAAAGACTTCTTCAGTCTGAGTCACAGCAAAAACTCTGTTTTATATAGAAGTAGTCTCGGATAAAAGATTTAACGTTTCAACAAGAAGAATTCTTCCAGAGAACGGGACTCAACCTTGTTACAATGTTCAGGTTTATCCGAGGCTCTAACAAGGTAAGTACTTGGCTCTGAACCAGTAGTAAGCCCAATACTTTTCATATAAGTACACGGTAGCATTATGTTTTAAACTCGTTAAACTTGATCGTGGATCGCAGTTTGGTTCTGTGTTGCAGAAATGGACTTGGGCAACACTGAGCTGGTGAGAACAGCACGTATTTAATTTTGGGTGACTCTGAAAGCAAACATCACACACAAAAACAAAAATGGGTGGAGATTATAAGAAATCTTGTATAACAGTGTGACGAAACACACCCAAAATCCTTAAAACCTGAGGACCTACAAGCTGAAAGCTTTGCCATGGCCCTGCCAACTGCCGGATTAAAACGAGAAAAAAATGCTGAAATTAAAAATAAAATTACAGAAATTTTTGCAGGAAAAAAAATCAGTGAAACATAAACTGAATGGCTTTTTCCAGTTTTAATCTTATTTTGAAAGGAACAAACAGAATAATAAAAAGCCATCTTGGTTATAATAATAAAAAGATCAGATTTATAGGTCTATGATATTTTATTTCACTCTTCTTTTGCCTCAGCTGCTCATGCGCTAATGAAAACGCCACTCGCCGCCTCACAAAGTGACTTTATTTCAACAATTTCGTTTTGTTTAAAATCTCAAAGATCATCGAACCAAAAAGTGTTTAAGAATTTATCACATCTCAGGAATGGCTCTCTGGGTGACACAAAGAACATTCCAGCTGATATCTGTTTCTCCTCCTCAACATTTTGACCTCACACTTGTGCAGTGGAACGTGTCCTCAGATTGTCTTCTGATAATACAACGGCCTCACTCACAACAGAAGATTAAAATATTATAACCAGTGGAAGTAACGAATTACAAATACTCACATTGCTGTAATTAAGTAGTTTTTTTGAGTACTTGTACTTTCATGAGAATTTCTTTCAAATCTGTCATTTTACTCATACTTAAGCACAATTTAGACTATGTAATCTACTTTGCTACTTATAAAATTAGAAGTCGCTACTGAGTACAGCCACAATTTGAATTAATATTCAAACTGTTCATCTGCATCTTTGTACCAATAAGGCTCTCAGATCACGAACGCACCAATTACCTATGACGTAAGAAGGACAACTTCGTATTGTAGAGTCATTTATGGACTGAAGATTTGGAGAAAAAGCCAAAATGGAGACAGAGGACAAACTGTCAGAGAAAATGACGAGGTAAAGGCTGAGGACGAGTGCCTGTGGTCGTACCTGGAGACCAGTATCATGTGCAGAGGTTGAAAAGGAGACGGGTCCAGATGCAAACTTTGTTTGATCTCTACGGTGACAGCAGCTTACATTCAGCATCTAATCTCAAAAAAACATATTGTGGTATACGAGGTTTTACAGCTACCTGTATGATATTGTTTTTTATTGTTTGTATGTGTGGGTTATTAGTTTGGCTAAGTATTTAAAGATCTTAGATACTGTCACTGCCATCGGTTTGACTGGTACTAAAATAAGACGGAGCTTCTGAGTCTGTGCTTTGAGCTGTTACAGTAAATCAAACTGAATGTCTTCTATCGACAACACAATAAAACATCAATTGGTTAAAAAGTAATTAATACTCCGAGTAGTTTTTGAGACGAGTGCCTTGTACTTTTACTTTAGTATTTTTATAAAACACCAGTACTTTTACTTGTAATTGAGTACAATTTAAGCAGTGCAGGGGTGCCCAAATGTTTCCCTGAGAGGGCCAAATTTAAAATCAATCAGAGGGCTGTGGGCCAAATGCAAATACTTCTTTAAGTAAAGTCCATTTCTTTAATATGCATTTATTTATCTTTCCATTCTGTATAAAGAACATTACAGAACCAGCTGCGTTGGTGGTGGTGGTCTGGGGTCCTCCCCCAGAGAATTTTGAATAAAGTAGATGCCATTTCCTGCATTTTGGTGTATTTTACAAAGGTTTATTACAGCAGATTAACATGAAACAAAACATGTAAACTCTTATTATTGAAATCTCTGACTGAAAAGTGTTTTTAATGCAACACTGCTGCAGCTCTGCAGGTAAGAGACATTCACTTCAGCACAAATCGAGGTCGTTGACTGGTCATTTGCTGATGTGCCTACTGGATTGATTGACAGGTGGCGTGACTCGTGCAAAAAAAAAGATAGATTTCATTGGCTCGTTTGAGACTGTTGTCATTTATTCAACATTTGTTCAATATTTTGGTTAATCTAAGGTTTGAAAACCGTTTCCTTACAAAATCCTAATGATGGTTTCTTAATTTTTCAGAGTTGATGCTCAGCTTTGTCAAAGGAAATGTTATTCAGCAGCAAGACACTGTCGCGAGACTGTATGAAGTCTGTCAAAATAAAATATAGATTATTAAAAAATGTCTTAATTAATGCACAAATTAGTCACTGCAGCTGTGTACTGTGTTACAGTAGTCATTGGGCCAACTTTCCATCTAACATTACACTTGGAATGACTGAGTGTAAACACATCTGCCCATCAACATTCGACAGGCCACCTCAGTCTCTATTTTTAAATCTCTCCTCAAAACACATCTGTACTCGTTGGCATTTAACACAGTGCGATCTCATTTGGTATTTCGTTGTTGATGATTGTGTTCACCCATTTTGCTTTTACTCCCTGACATTTAACACAAGGTGATTTGATTTAGTATTTCATTGTTTCTCATTATATTTCATGTTTTTATGCTTTTATTCATGTTGCTGTAATATCGTGTTATTAATATTTGATGCTGTGATCTTTTTTGGTAAGCACTTCGATAACAGTTACTGTTTTAAATGTGCAATATAAATAAATGTGACTTGACTTGACATTAATTCTTCAAAGGAAATTTTAATCTTGCAATGAGGACAGCTTGGCGGGCCAACTTTGGCCCGCGGGCCCCACTTTGGGCACCCCTGAGTGTAACAGTACTTGTACTTGAGTACAAATTTTTGGTACTCTTTCCACCTCTGATTATAACTTTCATGTAAAGGCCAAAATGAAAAACAGCAGAAAAGATGATTAAGTGATTATGATATGACATGAAAGTGATTAAGTTTTGTGTCAGGAAAGGCATCCGGTGTAAAACAGTCACCAAATGGTTGTGGCCACCCCTGAAGAAGGGAGCAGCAGAAAGAAAAACAACAGTGAGGAGGTTGGGGGTATTTTTGTCACACACAGACAGATTCATGGGCCTTGTGTTTTTAGTAAATTCCATCTGATTTGTTTCTTTAAACTCAGCCAACTTTATAAATTACTTGGGTTTAATTCATTTAGTGTGGGGAATGATGATGCAGAGCCTGTGATGGGAAGGTTGCCGGTTCGATCCCCCGGACCAAAAACATCAAAATGTGAGTGGGAAAGGTAAAGGACCCACACCTGCCTCCACCCTCATTGATTTTTCCTCAC